AAAAAAAAAAAGGATGCCAAATGGTACTACAAAGGAAGGGCCATGAAGCTATACATATTAGTCTATAAGCGGTCCCTCATCCCAAAGGGTTCAGCTGGCTCTCTCTCTATCTAACCCTGCTATCTGGTCATTAGCAATTTGTACGCACCCTGCTCAGTGCTGCTGCAGGCACTTGAACTCGCTTTCACCCCCAAAGCATGCTGAAGCCCAGTCTTTGTTCACCATCTGGACCTATAGCAAGAGACATCTAGTATCTGCCAGCTACTGGGTGAATTAACACCCTCCAGTGGCTAAATCACCTATAAGATATAGTCCAGGCTCTCTGCTGCCACCATGCCTTTGTACGTGCTATTTCCCGGCCTCAAATGCCATCCTCATATTCTACCACCCTATGGAGTCCTCTTAGGACAACCAGATGTCACCCCCAGAGAAGTGAGGAGTAATCACTCCCATTTCTCCAGTCAGCTTCATCTTCTGGGCCTATATAGGACCCCCAATGTGTCTCTAATACATACAGCACTTAGCGATCGATGTAATTAACCGATGCCAAGATTCTATCCCCATTAGACTCTGAGACATTCAGAATCAGAACCTTTGTTGATTTACCTTTTTGCCATGGGTGATATTCAAAGTGTCAATCAATCGGGACTTCTGGGCAGCACTCAAGTAGAGTGGCTATAAGGCTGAGGCCATGTCCCGCAGATGTCTCCCCCCGACCCCCAAATTGCCAGGTATCAACAACTTAGTTGCTGAATCATTCAAAAGTGGCACGGAGGGCAGGAAAGGGGCCAGGCAGCTGGGATGGAGGGACGGGAGCTCAGGACGGTATATATTTCCCAACCAGTATAGAAGTAATAACAACTGCCATGGCCATTATATAGCTTTATCTAACAGCTCAGTATCCATCATTTTATATCTCTAGGGACAGGTAGAGATATTTAGGTATGCGTAGTAAATATTTAATGAATATTTACTGGAAAAAAACAACAACAGGTACATGACACGGGAGACTATTTTCCCAATAAGACAGGGTCGAGGAATCTGAGACGTGGCTTGGACAGTAACTTTCTGTTCTTTTCGCTTTCCCACCCAAAGCAGAGTTTGGTTAACGGATGGGCACAAGATCCAAGTTGGTCCGATAAGACTCAATCCTGGGACTTTTGCTTGAACACCCCCAACCCCTCCAGTCCCTCCAACCCCTGTTGCCAACAGTGTTTAAAGCTTCTGGCAGCTTTCTTACCCCTGTGAAGGGGAAGCCTCTTGTGAAAGAAGCCTGCAGAGAGGGAAGCAGAACCAAGAAATGGAGAGAGGCAGGCTCCTGAAAGCTGATTTAAACACCTAGAACCAGCCATGCCTGAAGATCCACCTTGCAGCTTTCAGTTAAATGGACCCATAAATTCCCTTCCTTGCTCACGATATTGTGACATGGGCTTTTGTTTTTGTTTTACCTTTCCGACTATTAAGTCCAGGCTGACTCAGCTAGAAAAATACAAACCTAGGAAAAATACAAATCTCAGTTTCTGTTATGCGTATCTCTTAACTTTTCATGACCTGTGACATTTTGGTAGGTCATCTTGGTAACTCACCTTTCACCAAGGAGAACATCTGATAGATTTATAAATGAGGGAAAGTCCAGTGTGTTCATGACAGGATAGGCATGGATAGGAATGAGCAAAGTGTCATCTCCCTAAAATTAATGGGAAAAAAAAGTCAAGTTTATCATACTGGAGGCTATAATTTTCAAAGGTGAACTTGTAGGCACTTTATTGCTTATGTTGTCTTCTATCATTAAAAATATTTCCTTAAGAAAGCTGATTGCTTAAGCAGAACATTAGACATACTGAGCTTTCTTTTTTTTTTTATTTTTTTTTTAAAGATTTTTTTTTTCAAAGTTTATTTATTTTTGGGACAGAGAGAGACAGAGCATGAACGGGGGAGGGGCAGAGAGAGAGGGAGACACAGAATCGGAAACAGGCTCCAGGCTCTGAGCCATCAGCCCAGAGCCTGACGCGGGGCTCGAACTCCCGGACCGCAAGATCGTGACCTGGCTGAAGTCGGACGCTTAACCGACTGCGCCACCCAGGCGCCCCAGACATACTGAGCTTTCTTAGCTATAACCAAAATGTAGGCGATTCTAAGCACATTTCATTGAAGCGATATTCACTATTACCCAGGGGAGATGATGCCTTTGTGTAGACACAAAGACAGTAATCTGTCAGCTTCTATTTCAGAAAATTAGAAGAAAACACAATCGGCAGTAGCCTGAGAGGAACAGAAACCATGATGGCAGCAGCTGATCCAGATGGCACCGAACAGTAAACAATGAACTGGTATAGGGCACATCTACTTCCGGCCCTGCCTAACGTATGACCTTGAACAAGACCGTTAACCTCTCCAGGCCTCGATTCTTCCTTTGCAAAATGGGAATAATTTCGCCTTCACTTTAAAGGTATTTTTTTTTAATTTTTTTTTAACGTTTATTTATTTTTGAGACAGAGAGAGACAGAGCATGAACGGGGGAGGGGCAGAGAGAGAGGGAGACACAGAATCCAAAACAGGCTCCAGACTCTGAGCCGTCAGCCCAGAGCCTGACGCGGGGCTCGAACTCACGGACCGTGAGATCGTGGCCTGAGCTGAAGTCGGACGCTTAACCGACTGAGCCACCCAGGCGCCCCTAAAGGTATGTTTAAGAATGAAAGCCGGTGCTGGCCTGGAAGAGTTAAGAGCACTGCATAAATGCAAGGTATCATTATTAGCGCTACCATTAAGTAGCAGCAGATGTGCTGTGGCGCTCTGTACGTCTGCCCTCGAGATTTGTATTCTTGGTACAGATACTCCTTCTGAAAGCAATACTCTAATTTTTAGTTGAGCTTTTTTATTTTCTGTTTAAAAACTGAAACTCACTGGGGCGCCTGGGTGGCTCAGTAGGTTAAAGCGTCTGACTTCGGCTCAGGTCATGATCTCTCCAGTTCGTGAGTTCGGGCCCCACGCTGGGCTCTGTGCTGACAACTCGGGGCCTGGAGCCTGCTTCGGATTCTGTGTCTCCCTTTTCTCTCCGTGCCCCTCCCTCACTCGTGCTCTGTCTCTCTCTCTCTCTCAAACATGAATAAATGTCTCAAAAATTTTTTAAAAATGAAAAAAAAAATTGAAACTCATTGATCACTAAAACATACTCTTCCAGTTTTAGTTTTGAAAAATTAAATTTAGTTCACCCGAAGGCTTTTTGACTTGCAAGAGCCAGACGTGGGAGAGCAAAGGGAAGTGTCGCGGTGGGGGGGACAGTCTGAAGAGAGGGATTGACAGCACGTTGAGCTGGGCTCCGGCTGGAGGCCACGGGATGAATTCACTGTCTTAGAAGAGGCTCACAGGGACTCACATGGCGCAGCCAGCTGGGGTCAGGCCACACAGGCTCCCACCTCCCTGCAGACCCCCAGGGCTGCCTCTGAGGGCCTTCCCACAGGACACCATCTGGTCCCTGGGGTTTATAATCACAAATTAGGGGTGTTGCTAATTTTGTAACCTAGCACTTAAAGGACTATGTCGAAGCTACTTGAAAAAGTCCTTATCAACTCCTAGCGCTACACGATAAATGAGGTTTCTAGGCCAGGGCAGGCAGGAAACCTACAGCAAATGATGTCTCACGGCTCTGCCCTGGTTCTTTGTGGCTCTCACACCTGGGGCCCATGTCACTGGACAAGGACCCTCGTGCCACTCACGCCAACTGCCCAAGGAACATACGCACTGGGTGAGAACTTCACTTACCGTATCATTTCTTCATTCTTCCCTCAGGATGGAAGTCTTGACATCCTTCTGCCCCTTACCCCAAAAACACCAATTTTAAGAAAACTTACCTTACAGTGAACCCGAATGCAGTCGTAATAGTATCGCCACTCATCCGGAGAAAATGTAATGGTGATTGTGAGGGACAAGCCGGGGACAAGGTGGTGTTCCTAGAAGACAAGTAGGCTGTCATGGGGACAGGCCCCAGAGCACACAGGCTGTCATGGGGACAGGCCCCGTCCCAAGCCGACCTACCACGCAGAAAGCCACAACCTAACAAAGAACACAGTGGAGAAGAGGTAACCGGACCACACTTACCTTTTTCACATACTTGATCTGAAAGTATTCGGTTTGAGGGGGTAAAATATGCACATGTGTGTCTTCATTGGAAATATTGACCAGATGCTGCGAGAAACAGAGAAGCATTCAGAGAAAACACGGTCTTATGTATCTACATACTTACCTCCTCATTTATTTAGACTTTACCTTGTTCCTGAAGGGATTTGAGGAGATAGAATTTATTAACTTTCAAAAAGATTTGAAATGCATCACACCCCATTTAAAGAATAATAAAATAAACACAACCCCATTTAAAGGACAATAAAGCACACCCACGTGCCTTCTGCCCAGAGTAGGGGCTTTACGAGAGCCTGTAGCCCCCAGGAAGCTATCTGCTTGGGCACATACCCCTCCTCCCCACCCAGTCCTGACCAGTTACCTTGTGTGCTTTTTGTTGAACTCTGTTAACCTCAAAAACAAAACTGCCGGGGGATGCCTGGTGGCTCAGTCAGTTGAGCGTCTGACTTTGGCTCAGGTCATGATCTTACCGTTTGTGAGTTCAAGCCCTACATCAGGCTCGCTGCTGTCAGCCTGTCAGCAGAACCCGCTTTGGATCCTCTGTCCCCTCCTCTCTGCTCCTCCCCTGCTTGCAATCTCCCATAAATAAACAAAAATTTAAAAAACAAAACCAAACCTGCCAGTCATCTTGCCAGCAAAAATGGGTTTATTCAGAAACAGCAGAGAGCTGCAAACCAGGACGTGCAGGCTACTGAAAAACCCATACACAAGTGCCCAGACTAAAGGAGAGGACTGCTCTCTTATAGAGGAAAGGGGGAAAGGGGGAGAGCTGTTATAAACAAAAAGTCCATTGGGGTAAACTCCACGGGAGTTTGAAGTATAGGAGTTTTTCACTGGCCGAGCTGTGCCGGTCTCTCATTGGCTGGGCTGTTGCTAGGGCAGGAGGAAAACCTTCCTTTTTCCTGCTGAGATAGTAGCATAGTACCTAAGGTACATCTCTTCCTATTGGGTGTGCAATTGCAGAGTGGTGGGGGAGTGAGAGCTCCCCCTGCTGGCCACCCGACTCCTCTCAGAACCAGGTTGCCTTTCATTAAGGAATTTTCACAACTCCATTTAGGCCTGTGACTCAAATAAGAAGAAGCCAGCCACCCGGTCATCTCCCACAGTTTCTGGAATTACATGCCACTGGTGCTGGGGGCCCAGCAACACTTAGGTGGTCAAAAAAATCAGGAAAAAGGCCTGTGGCTAGGACAGCCTCCAATCCATCCCTGGGGCAAATGGGGAAAAGGTCAGGTGGGGGTGCCTCTGCATTCTGGTGGGACATATGATGAGTGACCCGGGCAGGCTAACTCAGTCTGTCTCCAGGCCTCTTTCCTCCTTCTGCTTGAGATGGGACCAAGAACTTTGGAATCTGGGGGTTTGACTTCTACCTGGGCAGGAACAGTTAAGAAGGTTTGTTCAAGTCCAGGCCAGAAGACTGGGCCTGTCCACTTGAGAGGCCATTGTGTCCAACACTGAAGCCCTAAATTAAAATTCAGATATTACTTCCCCTGATAGTATTACAGTGTTTACATTTAAAGTTCTTTTTTTGTCACCCTCTAGAATGCATGCCCTAAAAGTGACCCTGTGCTTGTTTTGGCATGCTCCTTTCTTTTTTTTTAATATACTAAAGCCTTAAAAAAAACAAGAAAGCAAAAAGGTTCTCCAGGCACTCACGAGCCTCCAGAGACCTGGAGGGGCATTTTTGAGTGAAGGTGTGGGCTCCTGGGGACTGCACACCTGCTCTTGGGGGGTCTTTCAACAGAGGAGAGGAGGGTGGGGACAGCAACAGGACTTGGGATGCCTGGGGCCTGTGTTCTGGGAGCCCTGGGGTGGTGGGACTCCTGGAGGTGGGAGGGTAGCCATGCAGCCCAGGACCTGGAAGCCTTGACAAAGAACTTCGGCACCCTGTAGGCCTGGGTGGCATCATGGGTTGAGCATCTGACAGAGCTCGCGATCTGCGATCTACAGTTCCTGCGGTTTGAGCCCCATGTCGGGCTCACTGCTGTCAGAGCAAAGCCCACTTGGGATCCGCTATCCCCCTCTCTCTGCCCCTCCCCTGCTTCCATTCACTCAAAAATAAACAAACATTAAAAAAAAAAAAATGAACTCTATGCCCATGCTTGTCATCCAGGGAAGCCCTGGTTGGTGGTGGGGAGTGAAAGGTAGTTTATATTGTCATCATAAAAAAAAAAAATCCATGGAAGCCTGGGTGGCGCGCAGTCTGGTTAAGCGTCGACTTCAGTCGGGTCGGTCACAATCTCGCGGTCGGTTCGAGCCCCGCGGGTCAAACTCTGGGCTGATGGCTCAGAGCCTGGAGCCTATTCCGATTCTGTGTCTCCTCTCTACTCTGCCCTCCCCGTTCATGCTCTGTCTCTCTGTCCCAAATAAATAAATAAACGTTGAAAAAAAAAAAATTAAAAAAAAAAATCCAGTATGAGGATAGGGCAACAAACAAGGGTGGTAGGGACTGCTTTTACTGTGTATCCCAGGTGTGTATTTCTTAGAAGAAATCAGTAATCTGCACTCTAGGAGTTCTTAGTGCACACTGCAAGATCCTAACCCAGAGTCCATACTCCAGAGGTGGCTACTAAAAGCACTTCAATCCTGTTCACCTAAACTGACACTAGAGGGTCTTCAATATAAGCATAAGGGATGTTCAGGGTATACGTACTAACTGGGAACATCATACAGGCATTCCCGCTCTTAAACGAAAGGCACAGGAGAACCTGGTGAGCCCAGAGCCCAGTGTCCTTTACAGTGACCTCCAAAGACCCAGGACTCCTTTAGGTCTTGCATTTTGCACAGCACAAAACATGTTGTTAGCCCGTCGGAAGGGTGGCCAATCTTACCCACAGATGCTCCTGCATCTGCTGCCCGCAAAGCTTCCTTGCAAGGAGCTAATGGCTGGGCCTTCCTGCAGACTGCGAGTATGGAAATTCCTTTTTGCCTGCTTGCTAGTAAGTGTCTTATGTGTGGCACAATTTCTTCTTGGGCCTGTTTGCATTGCAGCAGATAAACCCGGTAGCGAGGCTGCTGGGAGGGGACCGGTGGCTCCCATCTCCCATCGGGGTCAGATTATCAATATGCACCTGGCAATGAGACATAACTTCATGGACTTAGGTCAGTTTGCAATCAGCAGCATCACGGGCTATAGAGAGGTCTGTCCTCAAAGCTCCTGAGGTGGCTCAGCTGTTCCAGTCTTCCTGAATGGGAGGAGACAGAAGCTGGCTCTCCCGAGACTGGAGATGCGGCCAGCACCTGTGGGTGAGGGCCCAGCCACAACTTGATTGTAAAAAATACAGAAGGGGCGGGCACCTGGGTGGCTCGGTCAGTTGAGCATCTGACTCTTGATTTCGGATCAGGTCATGATCTCGCGGTTCGTGGGATCAAGCCCCCTATCAGGCTCTGCACTGACAGAGTGGAGCCTGCTTGGGATTCTCTCTCCCTCTCTGTCTCTACCCCTGCCCTACTCGCGCTCTGGGTCTCTCTCTCAAAATAAATAAATAAGCGTTTAAAAAAAAAGTAGAAACCTGATGCTTCCTCCAACCTGAGTGTGGCAGAGCAAATTCAAACATGCCCACTACTCATTTGTAGGTGAAGCCTATGCTTTGGAACTCAGGAGATAATATCTGCATTGTCAAATGAAAAAAAAAATAGCAAGAAGAAAATACTGAATTAATTTCTTAAATAATTAAACAACATAGATCTCATTTATGATCATAAAAGATGTATTTTTTGGCTATACATTGCAGGGGGGTGGGGAGGATCTTAAAGGCTGCAATAGGGAATTGAAAACTAAGACTATTATTTCAGAAAGCCTGAAGCAACTGTTAATTTATGTAAGATAAGTCTGTATAGGCTAACAACTTTGTTTTGGGCTGGCCGCGGCAACACTGCTTGTCTCATGAGAAAATGGAGTAATGATTTATTTAATAAATATAGTTTCCCAAACAAAATCTTTCTTCCAAGGGGGTAAAAAGAATTTAAGAGGTCTTTGTTTTGAGAAACACTATTTCCGATTTTGAAGTAAGTTGAAGCATTGATCTCAATATGAATCCAAGCGAAATGCTTTCAATCCTTTAACCAGATCTGGATCAATCTCAAATGTTAATGAACAATTTATTGTGGTTTTAAACCCACATTCAATCATTCCATTCTTGGGAAATTTGCATAGTTTCCTGTAGCAACACCAAGATAAAAACAGAGCTGGATTTTCCCCGTGTTTGGCAAGAATCTCAAGGTAATTGCTTTAGGCTTCCGCTTAACTCTGCCGGTGGAAACAGGAGGCTTGGCTCTCCCAAGATCTCCCAGAAGGCTATTAAGATGAAATCATTTTTCACATGTATCTATTCCTGTTTGTACAAAAGAGATGATTTCTATTCTTCAACAGAATGAAGCTTTACCTCCCTCCCCAAACCCTACAGTCTAGGTAAACCAGATTGCACGCTAGTATCCAAATATGCAGCATGGACCCTGAACCTCTCAACGTCTTCCTTTATGCCCTGAATATCCTTTTCCCACTTCTCTTTCTTTCTGGGCTATATCAAGTGGCTTCTCCTCCTCATGCTTATCTTTTTGTTTTTAAGAAACAAAACTTTCTTTTTTAAGTAATCTCTACACCCAGTGTGGGGCTCAAACTTATAACCCCAAGATCAAGAGTCACATGTTCTGCGGTGCCTGGGTAGCTCAGTCAGTTAAGCCTCCGACTCTTGACGTCAGCTCAGGTCATGATCTCACGGTCCGTGAGTTCAAGCCCCACGTTGGGTTCTCCACTGACAGTGTGGAGCCTACTCGAGATTCTCAATCTCTTTCTCTCTCTGCCCCTCCATTCCCCTCAAAAATAAATAAATAAACAATAAAAAAAAAAGAGTCCCCTGCTTTACCAACTGAGCCAGCCAGACGCCCCCACAAGATTTTTTTTTAAATCATGACCATCCTGGCCTAAATATCTTCAACATCATTAGTCATTAGGGAGATGCTAGTAAAATGTGCAAATACACAAAAATACAAATAAAGTAGTGAGTTGAACGGTGGCCTCAGGAAGGCATGTTCATATCCTAACACCTGGAGCCTGTGAATGTGACCTGATCTGACAAAAGGATCATTGTGGGTGTTATTAAGGACCTTGAGATTCAATCATCCTGAATTACCCAGGTAGGCCTCAGTCCAATAACCTGTCTGTGTACGAGAAGAGAAGACAGAGAGTCAGAGAGGGCCATGGGAAGGCAGAGGCAGAGAGTGGAGTCCTGTAGCCACAAGCCAAGCAACACTTGCCAAAAGCTGCTGGAGGCGAAACGACATTCTCCCCAAGAACCTCTGGAGGGAGCACAGCTCTGCCGACACCTTGATTTCGGACTCTGACCTCCAGAATAAATCTCTGGCTTCCTAAGATCCTCAGTTTGTGGTTATTTGTTAGAGCAGCCACAGAAAACTAACACACCATATAACCCAACAATTCTACTCCTTGGTATACATCCAGGAGGACTGAAAATAAGTCCACGCAAAAACACGTACACAAGTGTCCCTAAGAGTGCTATTCATAGTAGGCTCAAAGTTGAAACCCAGACGTCCATCGGATGAATGGCTGAACAAAATATGGTACAGGCATACAATGGAACAGTATTCAGTCATGGAAAGGAAGGAAGTACTGATAGATGCCACAAGTCGGATGAGCCTGGGGAAACATTAGGCCAAATGACAGAAGCCAGTCACACAAGACTACATGTTATATGATTCCACTTATATGAAATGTCCAGAGTAGTTAAATCTATACCAGTGGAAAGCAGATTAGTGGGCGCCTGGGGTAAAGGTAGACTGGGTGAAGGAATAAGGAGAGTGAGGGTGCTGGG